TACCGCCCAGGCCTGACATTAAATGAGCTAACGTACTGTTAGCATGCTGGCTAACGTTAACCTACATAACGCCATTTCGTGATTTGACTAGCTTTGTATATTGTTTTGCACAATGCATAACTAAGCCGCTACTTATTATAATATTATTGGTTTGTACGCGCTGCCATGTCCGTGTACATTACCGTGTACTTAACGTCAGCTATCGCAAATAATTTGTTTACGGCCCCCTACGCTGTGCTTGATTTGGGACATGTTGGCTTTGTTTTATTCTTACCTTAAACTTAATGTGGATAGAAGTAGTAGCTTTATGCATGTACATGTGGAATTTAAGGTGGCATTGGAAGTTCTCTCACTCCTCCTCCTCCTCCTCTTCAGTGCACAACATGGGAAAGAAGCAGAATACCAAGGGCAAGAAGGATTCACAAGAGATGCAGGAAGAACCGGAGGAATTTGTTGTGGAAAAAGTCCTTGACCAGCGAATTGTCAATGGCAAAGTAGAATTCTACCTGAAGTGGAAAGGATTCACAGAGTGAGTTTCCTGGGACACCCGCAGAGCTGGAAGTGCTTCCCTGGTATGGGGTCGTGCTATGTTTTTGTCTATAGTCTTTGGTTGCATGAATCGGCTGCTTTCCTGCATACAAGTTAGTTTTTAAAGTCGACTGTGCTGTTTGCGTCTGTATCGATGGAGATCTGTGTTGAGGGATGTTTTGAGATGCAAATGCTGACCCTCCTCCTGCTCATTTAGTGCTGACAATACTTGGGAACCAGAGGAGAACCTGGATTGCCCAGAGCTGATCTCCGGGTTTTTGGAAGCACAGAAGAACGTTAAAGAGAAGCCTGCTCCTGTTAAGAGAAAGGCATCAACAGATGAACCAGAGACGGAAGCAAAGAAGAAAGATGTGGTGAGTTCACTTAGTTTTACATACCTCCAGACAGTTACATTTTTCAGTGGGAATTCTTCGCATGAGGGTGAGATCTCACATTTAGAAAAAGATAAATGGTAAAACGTTTCATATAAACATTACCCTATTACATATATCTAAGTAAGAAGTGAAATGCAGCAGCTACCAAACCTATCCTGGAGAGAGCTTTGGATCAAGCAATCATTATGGTCTCAGGCTCAAAGTTGTTCTATATCATCTGGGAAAACAAAATAAGTAATACCTGTTCCAGTTTCTTGCATATACTCATGTGTTCATTTGGCACCACTTACAGGCTGAGAAACCGCGTGGCTTTGCTAGGAACCTCGACCCAGAACGGATCATTGGCGCAACAGACAGTAGCGGGGAGTTGATGTTCTTGATGAAATGGTGAGTACAGAAGGAAATATTCATATATTTAGGAAAGATTCAAAAGGGAGGGCTCCGCAAACTGTCATCCTTTTGAATTTTCTGCACTTGAAATCTTTATTATCCGTTATCAGTAAGTCTATTATTACTTGTGATGATGCGCCGACTGTGTTGTAGCTAAATAGATGAAAACTCGTGTGTTAGTAGTAAACAGGGTCCACAGTTGCCGTAATGTTTTTCTTCCTCTTTTTCTTTAGGAAAGACTCAGATGAAGCAGATTTGGTCCCTGCTCGTGAGGCCAACACTCGCTGCCCTCAGGTGGTCATTTCCTTCTATGAGGAGAGACTGACATGGCATTCCTGTCCAGAGGATGAGGCTCAATAGTACTTCCCTCTGGTTACTGCAGTCCTTTGCACCACCTATGCCCTTTTCCTCAGGACTGAATTTTCTCCTCTGGCTTGCCTTCTAGTTTTAGCTATCTTAGTTCTTTTTGGAGATGTTTCAACCCTCACATTGTGTGGCAGTCAAGGAGAGCTATGTTGTTGTACATATTAGCTGAACTGATTGTAAGGGAGTTGGTGATGGTGTTGTGATGTATAATGAAGTCTTCCGTTATCATATTATGATTTATGTGATGGCAGTTTAGGAACTATACTCTTTGATAGAACCCAACACCCACCCAAATTCATTCCTGGTCAAATTTTGTAAATTCTAAATGGCTACTTTGGTCCATCAAGCTGTTGACCACTTCTTGTATCACCATCTCAATCTCATGTAAGATGCCGATTTTTGTTTTTTGTTTTTTTTCCACACTAGTGCTAATGTTTTGTTCTAAAAGTGCATTTTGTATACTCTTACTGTAAATATTAATTTGAAGTTCTAATAAAGGTTTTATGTGACCAAATCCCACTGTTTAGTTTTTATGGTTCTAATGAAATATATGCATTAAGAATTGGCAAAGTACAACACATGCAGACAACTGTAAATGTTGACATATTGGCGCTTGAAACCTGATCCTTTATTTATTGTTTGGATCTGCAAATTAATCCTATCACTTTTCCCCAACAAAGATTTCAAGGTTAACTCTTTTGTCTCCGTGCTACAATTTGGGTTCAGAAATTACAATGTAATATTTATGCACCCTGTCAGGAGTTTTAGTTTGTATTTTACCTCTAACACCAGTATGATTTCCTTTTCTTGTCATTTGCTGCACATGACAATAACGGCTTCAATATTGAAGAGTCAAATGATGTTCATCAGGTAAGTCACTGTGGTGGGATATCAAAGGCCCAGACGCAGCATGATCCATGTAGATAACCAGTATCAGCACACAAGGGAACATACTTTAGTTCACCTCAATCTGTCCGGTCTGCATATGTATTACCCAGTAGTATTATCAGACCAAATCACTCTTTTGCTTTTAATTTGTATGATTTTTTTCTATGCAGGACTCATTTATACCAGAATACCTTTCCATTGTGGCATTGGTACTTTGCCTGAGTAAATCTGCCAATCTGGGGTGACACCCTTTAACATCATTAAAGTTCAGAAACTCCTCAGTACTCCCTCTAACAGTTGAGATGGGTCTCTCAGGCCATGTATCCAGATGGCATGGCTGCCTCTGCAACAGTAAGCAGAATAGTCTCATGACTGGCATTAGGGCATGGGAAATAGACTTTGGACCTTTGTGCATTAGTGTTGAGTTTTCAGTTTCTATAGAAACATCCCTCAGTACACTCCTAAACAGCCAATACGGGTCTTTTCCAAATAGCTTGCAAATGTTAATTATTAATGTAAATTAACTTTTTTATTTCATTATAGAGTGCTTAAAAGAAAAAGCTGAACACTTAAATTCTTTCTACATTAAAGACCTACAGGAAAGGAGTCCTACCAAAACAAGTTCCCATGTGAAAGTAGGCCTGCAGTGGCTTTAAAAGAAAGAAAGAAACTGTTATTTTAGAGTTTCATTTCATGGGGCAGCCTAAATCTGGAATACCTTGATTAAGTCAAACCTCTAATCAGGGCAGCATAATCACTTGTATGCTAATGTCTTCAGATCATCTCACTACAAATTTACGACACAAATGCACATGATAGCTCTACAAGTAGAACAAGATCCAATCCATGATCAAGCACTTTCTAATTACATAGTACATTTTTCATGTTGCTGCGTGAAATATAATAACCAAAAACGCCTCTTTTTAAATTTTAATATGAGTGAAGGAAAGGACTTTGTGTGGACATGCCTGAGTGTTATCTGTGGCTTAGTGTGTATAGCACATGATGCTTGTCTATAGTCCAGAGTAGTCAATTCTTTCTTCAGCACTTGCTTAAGCAATTAGCCAAAGAAAACTGTTCTGCTGTAGCCGATCATAACACTTTGAAAGTGAATAGCAGCCAATGAAAGGACGTGTTAATTGCTGACTTGACCAAAGATAAAGACACCTTTATATGTGAATGAGCAGACCTTAGCCTCCCTTTAATACCTTCAATTGAAAAAGAGGAGTATTTATTTACGGCCACCTCCCACTAGGGGTGTTTACCTCCACTCCTGGGCTGGAAAGCACTTTGGAATAGACCTCGGAGCACTTTGGTAAGAACCCATTGATTTTGTTCTTATGTCTTATTGCTGGCAATGTGTGCACACACTGATATTATTCCTTTCATGGTGGTGATATTGCAGGTTGTCAGTGATTACTCTGTGTCAGGAGAGTAACATTGCTGGTATCAGACTTGGTGAAAGAGTAAAAGTGATTGATAACTGAAATTGACCAATGTAGAAGTTATATGAGAGACTGCTGAATTGAGAGTGAAACTGTCCTGCGTGTTTTAAATGGTTTTAAATGGACCGAAAAAGGCTTTAGGCCTGTTGCTGCTGTTTTGTGCTTTAATTACCTCATTTTTCCTTTATGAGAAATGTTTACTGTGCCGGCCCAGTGTCAACAAACTACCTCAGCAACACACATCCTGCCTGCATGGGCTGGAAAGAGTTGTTATCACTGTGGCTTTTACTTTTATGACATTTCTTGTCTTCTCTAATGGTTTAATGTGAATATAATTGTTATATGTCAATGGAGGATGGAACTGGAAGAATATAGGGTTAAAGGGTACCAGATATTGTAGTGAGAAAATGAGTGAAATGTCCACATACAACAAAGATATCCAATAAAATGGATTCTTAAAAAATTGTGGTCATGATTCCTACACCAGAAATGAAGTCTGCAAGCAGGTACTTTTCCATAATTGTTTTTCAGTTAAACATTAATTTGTAAATTTTATTTCCAAACATGAGATTCTGAAGTATTGATTTTATCATAGGCATACTGGAATCAGACTCCAGCAAGTGGTAGTTTTAAACTGTGTGAATGTATGTTTGGATGTTCATGTGCCCCAGTTCCCTAAAGTCCTCAAAAGCATCAGTTGTGAGTGAAAGGTTGGATGTTGACTATACTATTAATAAAGGATTTTTTTTTAATCTGCATAATATTTAATTTGAATAAACATTGTATAAGTGGAAATACTGGGTGGACAATAATATAGCAGCTTTTTCCTGAGATGGCAGGGTTGTTTTTAGGTTAAGCCATGGAACCTAAATAGGCCATGTATAAGACAACGTCAATATTTTTGATAATGATTCCACTACATCACCATTAGTTTACTCATCCCACCAGGTGAGACCATTTAAACTGATCGCACCCAGTGAATTGGGGACAGGTGCGCTTTGAGGACACAGCAGTGACGTTTCTCGCAAGCGGGATAACGTTGTCCCTCCGTCAAACAACTTAAAATTATTATTTTACAGCCTTTTATTCAGTGTATATTTTACAACGATGTGGCCTTCCCGCAGCGGAAAAGGCGTGATCAAACACCGAGAGTGAGGTCCCACTGAGGGGTTAACAGTTCAAGCAGGGCTGAGCCTCAAGCCACTCCACTGAGCTGCTCCTGTTGTTCACAAACACCGGAATACTGCTCGGCAAGTAAAAAGGTGGAAAGGTAGGATCACAATATAATTAAAATTTAAATCAGATCCTGATGTTTTGCTTATTTGTTGCAGACATTTTTAGGCAGGAGAAACTTTAGATTTTCTTTACCTTAATTTGTCAATATGTCTAGAGCAATGTTCTTACCTGTAACAATTAGTTGGATAATTATTTTGTGTATTAAATAATTGTATATTTGACAAGGAATGGCAGTTAGTCGCTACTTATGTAGTTTAGTTGTACTAATTGTTTTGTAAATAGTATCTGAAAAATGTCAGGACCTCATCTTTTTTTATTTTTTTTATTTGGTTGGCTATTTAGGACATAGACTGCTGGGGTTCTGCAGGGGTTAATGCCTTGTTTCAGTCCGGCCATATGAACCTTGATCAAGACAAGAAGATTACTTTTTTGGGGATTGTAAATTTTTGATTTAGTGCACTGATTGTTGTGATCTGCATAATTGCAGCCCAAAGTAATGTGATTGTATTACATAACCTATAGTGGTTGGGGAAAAATGTAAGTTGCTATATTCATTGAGATTTCACTT